TGAACATATTAATATATTATATACCAACTGTTAAGACAGACGTCTACTTTATCAGAGTGATTCGCTTATTGTCACCATTTCAATAATAATTCGCTAGGTTCGTATTTCGTTTATTGGTCCATGGCGCGCGGAACCGGAAACGACCCGGAACACGACACGTAGTCGACCGACGGCGTCGCGGCTCAGTTTTAGCGCGGAAACACACTATATGCGCTTCATAAAATATACTGTGGCACTCAACGTGTTAAAAATAAATATATTTATATTTTTTTTTTTAATTATTTGAGGAACTGAAATTTTCGTTCAAGTTCCTTCAAAATAGGAACTCGTTCCCGTTCCTCGTTCCTATATTTTAAATGGAACGCGTTCCGAGCTTCGTTCCTATAAAAGGAACGCGTTCCTTCCCAACACTGACAGTTTCTAATATAACATAATTATACATGCATTAATTGATTATTTGTTTTTAATTATTTCTTGCCGAATACAATAATATTTTAATATTTCATAATGTTAGAACCTTTATTAACAATTCGCAGCACCGAAAGCCCATAAACCCATGCTTATCACTTGTGTATTTTTGTTACGATCAAAATATGGTAATTTACTTACATACAAATACTGCGCTTTTACGAACTTTTAAAAAAGGTAGTTTAGATTTAAAAAACAATTGTTTATATTATGGATATCATGATTTAACTCTTGGGTATACAAAAACAATTTTAAATAGCATAACAAATAATTATTTAACTATTAAAAGCAACACATACCTACTAATATCACAGATTATATAAAATCATATGGTGCACTTCTGAATTAACTGAAAGCCTACAAATTACAACGAGTTAATAAGAACGATGTTGCAAAAATTAATTGCCGAAAATCATTAATTAATAATTTGTAAGTAAGTTATAGCCTTACGAAGTTCATGATTTTAGGTGTCTTACGCATTCGTATACAACTCAATATTTTACAGCGCGTTTGGAACTTTTCTGTTTTACTGAACAACCTTTTTTTTCATATTTAACGTACTCATGCTGAAAACGATGGCGAAGTCTGAATTTGGTGGCCAGACTTATTTTAAAGTTATAGGCTTATAGCTAATTAAAATTTTTGAAATGTTCATATAGGTACATCGCCGGCGCGGCGTGTTCACTCGTTCGTTGCGCTCACTCGTACAATTAAAACTGAAAACATCTCTCTACTTCTTATGTAAAACTACCATGGGTGAGTGTCAAAATTATTTTGACTTCATAATTTGTAAAAAGTTGATTTAAAAAAAAAATTTTAAATTTGTTAACATAGCAAAACACCGAAAATCGTGAACATCGTATGGTATACTATAAAAACTAACGATTTCCGGCAATTAATTTCTGCACCATCCATATTAACTGGTTGTAATAATACATACGTGTCCAAAAAAAAAAAAAAAAATGTTTTGAAATTTGCTAAATAACCCTGAGCCCTCCTCTGGCAGTAGGTACTCTGCGGTGTGTATATAACGTAGAATGTAGATATCGCTCGCTGTTGTTTAAATTCATAACGTATAGGTAGCTGGTATACAACTTTTAGAGCAATTACTCTATGGTACATTTATACAAGGAGTATAATTAATAGAATAACATGAGAAATGAAATCATTTTTGTTCTAATCAGTATTTAATATTTTTTGTATATATACAGTGTGTAATTGCTAATTGAGAACACTCAATATCTTTGAGTTGGGTCCTGTAATTTGAATTTTGTTTTCTAGTTGATTGTTATGACATAAAAATACACTTTTTGATAGCCTATGATTTTTTTTTACTTAATTAGACTTGCGCATGCGCAATACAACTTTTTTTTCTTAAATGACAACCACCTATTTTAACTACTAATTTTTTTCCTAATTTTTTAATGCATTTTGGTAGTTGAACCAACTTTCTAAGTCCAAATTTTACCAACAGCCAGAGCGTGTAATTTTCAGTTTTTTTCACTGTAATTCTGAAAATAATAATTATTTTAAGAACAATTATTGTTCTGAAGTTTTTAGGATTAACATTTTTATTACTATTAATGTATGTTGTTTATTTTATTACATGTTGGTAATAAAAATGTTAATCCTAAAAAATTTCAGAACAATTATTTTCAGAAATACAGGGAAAAAAACTGAAAATTGAGCGTATTTTGATTGGCTGTAACTTGGTCAATTTTGGACTTAAGAAGTTGGTTCAACTACCAAAATTCATTAAAAAATTAGCCAAAAAAAAAATAGTAGTTAAAGTAGGTGTATGTCATTTAAGAAAAAATGTTGTATTGCGCATGCGCAAGTCTTATTAAGTTTTAAAAAATTCATAGACCATCAAAAAGTGTATTTTTATGTCATAACAACCAACTAGAAAACAGTATTCAAATTGCAGGTCCCAGGGCCCTACTCAAAGATATTGAGTGTTCTCAATTAGCGATTACACACTGTATATCATTTACAGATTTTTACGCTGTACAAGTAAGGTGTAATTTTAATTTTTAATTTTTTAATACAGAAAATAAACAATTTTCAATTTTTGGTGGAATTATTGTATGTTTGTAGGCAGAACCGAATGGAAATAAAAAATCCCAAACAATAACCAACAAAAACAAAATTTATATTATTATAATGTGTAATTTGTTATGAACAAAATGTTTGCGCCCTATTTATATTCCGCGGGTCGAGAACTCTACGCGTCCGGTGAGTCAGTTATTTTTTTTAACGGTATTAGCTCACACAAATAGTATCTCGGAAAGTAAAGTCCAGAACCATAAAAATCCGAAATATAAAATCCTGGTCTGTAACATTCCGGAAAGTAAAATACCGGAATGTAAACCCCGGTCTGCAATATTTTGGAAAATAAAATCACGGTACGTAATACACCGGAATATAATATTTTTAATTTTTAATTTAGTTACAATTAATGGATCCTTATTTTATTTTTCAAAGTCAAAGCATGTAATTTTTCTAATTCTTTTAAATTGATTGTGTAAAACTATTAAAGTTAATTGTATAAAAACGTATTACCTACTTTATTTTGACAACTCAAATTAACCTATTTACTTTGCCCGTGTCTTTCTCACTACCTACCTAGATGGTTATATCATAGATTAAGTATGAATTTATAAAGTCCATTAGTTTGGAAGTAATAATTGTATTTTCATAAATCATAATGTCCATTGTCCCTATTCCCTATTGGTAGGTATATCACATAAAATATTTAACGATTAATAATAAAAGTGAACTTTTTTCTATCAATTATTTGACCTCTAAACAATCATTATAAATTATGTAATAACTAATAAGTAGGTATATCTTTAAAATAATAATTCAGGTATCGCTTAGTGTGTTTTTGATGTACCCTATTTTTTGTGACCACGCGATATCATTATAACTCATAAGTTAGAAACAACAGAATTAAGTTTTATAAAACCATTTTTCCTATATTTTAAAAATAGGTGGATTATACGAGTATCAAATTCATTTTTAGAAAATATTACGATTTATATTATAAATATAAACACATTAATTGATTGTATTGTTCGCTGTCCTAAATCCTATATCACCATGTTCCTATGGAAAGTTCTACTTTGTTCCTGAATATAGTTTATTTTAGGCAGTTAACGAAACTCCAATAGTTACTCATTTTTAACAGTATAAAATATATTTTAGTGAAATTCAGAATTTCTGTTTAACTCCCTACTGTTCAGAAAGAACACCTCAAATTTCCTCCACGCGTGGACATTATCGGGAAACACTTCGTGGCTACTGGCTGGTGTTATTACCCTTATTCTTTCAGCATTAGAATATTGTAATAAATAAGGTTGAACAAATTTAAATCATGCATTATGCGATTGGTTATTTTGTATAACTAACGTAAATAAGAAATTAGAGCGCGGAAATGTCATGTACTTTATGCTGTATAAATGTAAAAAGGATATAGTAAGTTGTAAGTATTCATGTCTTAATTTAAATATGTTAATATATTATAAAATAAGACTTATCTAATATAAGTTATTTAGTTAGAAACATCGAATAAGCAAATTGTAGTGAAAGAATATCAAGTGTATTTAAAATACGAGGCCATAACATTGAGGTGTCCATCTCATATTATCATTATTATAATTTTTATAAAAGTCTGATTAAAATCAACTGGTTAAACAAGTTGAAATACATTTTGATTGTTCTAGTAGTAAAAACACTGAATTTATAAACATTTTTATACAAAGGATTTTCTATTGACAAACCCAAAATCATATAAATACCTGATATGATTATTTTAGGTAATGACTGGTTATACTACCAAATAATATTAGTACAAGGTCTCGGGTTGTTAGATTTTTACAATGCCTATAATTACCCAAAACATTGATATTAAGCATCAAATATTTTTATTTCGATTAAAATAACGATGTGTCTCGATGAAGTTAATAGTCATATTTATAAGAAATGTATTTGTATTTTTATTTTTTATGCCATTGGACATATTAAAATAATTTTAATTTCTTTGTTTTGGATTATGTGATACTTTAGCCTACCTGTATATTTTTATATTTTTGAATACAAATATACTGTATTCAAAGTTAAAATGCTTAAACTTTACACAACCTCGTATAGGTTATAGGTAGGTACCTAACTTACTATAGTATAATAAACTGTTATGGAACACATTACAGTAAAATAATAGACTACCTATACCTAATGGCTAATACCAGCTATAGCCTATAGGTGAGATAATTAGATATTATATAATAATGTGTATTATGTTTATGGCATAGGTAGGTACTAGGTATATACTACATACCTATGCACTATATCTTATACAATATAATATTAATATATAGTAAATATATGATTTTCTTTCAGGAAAGAAAAGGTTTAAAAATAACAACAAAATCGATTAATGAAAAAAGGATCACATTTTTATTGTTGAAAGTCATATTTTAAAAAAACTATGTATGTTGTCGGAAGGTTGAGAATCGTGGGCGAGTGGGTTTTCAGTAGTGATAGGCGACCGGGTATGCGGCTTTGTAGGCTGCTGGGAAGTAAGACTTCTCGTATTTGCCTGGGTAGTATTTTCCATCGTCATAAGCTGCGTAGCTCGGGTAGGCGGCGTAGCTCGGGTAAGCTGCGTAGCTCGAGTAAGCGGCGTATGGGGTGGCGGCGTAGGCAGCCGGTGCAGCATAGGCAGCAGGAGCAGCGTAGGCAGCTGGAGCGGCGTAGGCAGCTGGAGCGGCGTAGGCAGCTGGAGCGGCATAAGCAGCTGGTGCTGCGTAGGCAGCTGGGGTGGAGTATTTGTAAGCGTAGGTGGCTGGGTAAGCAGAGTATGCTGAGTACGGGTATGCTGGGGCTGCTGCAGAGTAAGCCAAGACCGCTGTAAAAAAAAATTTGGTTTATCAAATGAAAATTTACAGAAAATTGATAAAAAAAAATGTGGAACAGTATACCAATATATACTATATAGTTAGCATTGTGTTCTACATCATATACTTATATATTATAAAACTTACGAGCTGGGGCAGCGGCAACGTAGGCGTGTTTCTTTACTCTTGCTCCATCATCTGCGGGTTTGTTGTCTTCGGCGGACACGGCGTACACGGCCAAGGCGATGAATATCTGTTGGTGAAAAGAATAAAAGTAAAGATTATGTCGAGTGTTAAATGCATTTCAACTGTTCATATTTTACGATTTTCATAAAACAAATAGTTTGCATCTTAATTAACTATGGCGTACGATATTTTGTTGTGCGATATATAATTATTGTGAGATTCGATCCGATAGCTGTAAATAATTAGTTTGAACAATTCTGATCTTAGTTTTCTGGTTATCTTTATATGTATATTGTATATCATGATCCTAAACTTTAAATTAACTTATCATTTAAATTTTTATCCATTGAACTTTATAGTATACAATAGGGTCAATTTGAAATTCAGAAAAACTTCTCCGCTATAACTTGTATATCAAATGAACAATATCATAAATATATAAAATCGTTTTAATACTTTTGGATAAATGTCGAATTAAGGGTATTCGTGTCTTTGGCGAACTCTACAAACTTCCACGACTGATACAATAAATATGTGAATGGAATTTGGCTGCTGGACTTAAATAAGAATTCTATTATACATAGAGGGAGAAGTATTTTATGACTGTATAGTTGCAGAAGAGTATAATAGTGGTTAGTCTTCAAAACTCAATTATTTAGAATCAATGTTAAGTTTAATTTAAAAATATAAAACTGATTAGAAAAATACTATGTGTAGGCTATGTCTACAAAAGTCGATGATAAAAAGGTGGTCGCTTTAAGATGTGTTATTAAACGTGTAAGACTCACCAGATTCTTGAAAGAAGCCATTTCTTGTTTGGTGATTTCTTCTTGCGTTGTCTAAGACGGATCTGCAAACTTCAACCTGTGGTCGATGTGTGTACTTGGGATGTGAAGATATGTGTGATGCCAATGACTGGGTCGCAGGTCCTTATATATGCGGTCCGGTCGATGGCTCCCCCTCGATGTGAAGGTATGTGGTTCCACCGGCCACTACCTGGCAAGGGCGTTTCCTGTCTTTGAAAGGCCAAAATCCGGATCACGCCGAAAAATTGCGATGAGATACTCGCCGCCTCATCGAACATCGTTCGTTGGCAGCTTGGTGGTTGACCTTGGATCGCAGTGGTAATTGACTTTGGACCGCATCTAGTAGCGGTTGACCTTGCACCTTGGCCAGGGGGATTTGCACTGTACAAAATTAATAATATAATAATCGCAACGAAAAAATATAATATACATAATTAGGCGTTGCCGGACATGGCATGTCTACATTATAGATGCGGGACTATACAACAATCCGTGTACGCGAATCTGAACCCGATAGCGATGAGTTGCAATTTTGGCCACAAAATATTATAAAAGTATAATATTTATAAATATATTATAGTGGTGTGATGTGGCGTGATTAGAGTCTGATACAATGATACTCTGAGGGTGGTGAACACTTGAGAGTTAAGACCCTAGACATTTTCGTGCATGTATCTTATATTCTTATTATGTTATTTTAAATTGTTGTTATGGCAGAATCAATATTGTACAGAGTAATTCACCAGGTATGCCATCCCAATTTTTTTCTTTAATAAAAGATGTATTCAAATTCTGATTTTTGGAATTTTAAATTCTGAGTGGACTGAAAGAATGCATTGTATTTACATTTTACAATGATATGCGTGATTATTTTTTCTGTCTGCCATTAACATTTGGGGTAGTAATAAAAAGCATCTTTTCTAATAGAAAAGTAAATCTAGTTGGTACTTTTGAGAAGTCATTCCCAGTAGTTTTAGAAAGAGACAGTAAAATCAAAAATAAGTGAAAAATGTGGTAATTTCTACGCAAACCCAATTTTTTAAAAAATCTATTTAATTTTTTGGGTGTAACTTTAAAAATTAACAATCATAGACACTATAATAACATTCATCAAATATTTATATTTGTATTTTTTTAATTATTCTCGATAAAACCGTTTTCACTTAGTAAAAAAGTTTGAAAACCTTATACAAAATTCCTTATAAGTTTCATAAAATTAATGGAAGTTCAAAAATATGAATGATACACAGGCGCACGATTATTTTTATATGAACTTAAAGTTCAAATGTTGATAACATTTAGACAATTTTCAAATTATTTTTTAGTTACAAATCCATAAAAGTTTTTCTTTGCATAACTAAGATTAAAACATTTAGGTAATAGAAGATTCCACACACGTTTTTAATACCTATATTACCTATATATATATAACCTATAGGAAACAAAAAAAGTTTACTGAAACTGAATATCAGGTTTTATGAGGGTTTGAACTTATAATTTTTAATATTCAGCTGTAAATTAACGAATTTCCATTAATCGATTTTTGATATTTTTTTGTATTCCAAAACGAATAACCGTGGCCTTTTGAAATATTCACCAAATATTTATTTTAGAATTTTCCATACATTGTAAAATTTCCAAACTATTTTGACTGTTTGTGAGCTATCCATAGCCATGAGACATTTTTCAAATGTTGTAAATTATTTTTTAGTTATAAATTTATAAAAGTTATTCTTTTCATAACTAATTACTACATACAAATTTTAATAGACGATTCCCAACAGAGGTTTTGTGGTTCTATTAAAAAAAAAAAAGTTTACCAGAATGTTTTGCTATTCATAACCATTAAACCATGAGATATTTTCGATTTTTATTTTTTTTAACTTTTAAATATGATTATTTATACAAGTATACTAGGATGACACAAGGTCTCTGCTCAGAATCATCTTTCGTAATCATTGAATTCAAATATAACAAACCCATTACAACGACATGCTGTACAGCAGTGCCGTACCCTCTTGTCCACCTTTTTAAATATACTTAAATACCGTATTTTAAAATCTCAAAAGATATTTTGTACATTGTACTACTTAAGTATATTTAGTGGTGATACAAATTTCTGTTTTTCAAATTATTAGAATCCTCTTTTTTTTGCTTTAAATAATTACTTAGTGGATATTTTTTTAAATTCCGATTTCCGATGTAGGTACTATTTATTCAAATTTTGAAAGAGTAGTTTTTCAGTTGTTAAATGTTTATTCTAAAGGTAGTGGTCCTTAAAAAATGGTTTTACAATATTAGATCTAGTATTTATATTATACTTTGACCTTTTTCATTTTTTTTATTTTTTTTTTTATCTTTTATTAGATTATATACAGTCCGTAATGGTATTTACAGTAAGCAATAAACATATATGTGTGAAGAAAGTATACATATATAAGACGTGGAGACGTGATGAGAGAGGTCACCCAGCAGTAAGACCATTTTCATAAATGTTATAAATGTTAATAGATTAATATTAATTAAAAATGATATAAAATCATGGCTATGTTAACATGGATTTAGTGCGCTCACATATACTACTGTGTAAATACTATATAAACTATAAATGTATAATATACAATTGTGATATTACCGATTACAGTACGTAAACTAAACAATTTCAAATATTTTAGCTGGAACTTGTAAGTATAATGAATTATACATAAAATAAAAAAATAATTATTTAAATGTCCGAGGGGGTGGATAATTACAATATCTACTGTTAGACATGAAAAAATGAATAGTATTATATTATCTTATATAGAATTCACCGTTGCCCTTGAACGACGCGGTCACTGACTTGCAATCGCAAAACATGATAAAATATATATGTATATCTATAAATTCTATATGTATCGAATATCGTTATAAATAAAATATTATAAGGTATGCATTAATGATTATTTTTTTGTATAACCTCTGGTTTAAATACATACATATATCAACATTTGGATTATAATTACACTCTTTGGTCTCCTTCTCAATTAGATTTCTACGGTTTGTTTCCATATACTGTCAAATACGTATATAGAGAACCACACTCGTCGTATAGGACATTAGGTACTTAATTTTTTAACTTTGAAGCAACTATAAATTACTTTAGAAATAAAAAGAAAAACAGTGAACTAACCTTTTTTTTTATAAACTATACTCAATAATTTGATTGATAACCCTGAATTATAGCCCATGATTAAATTTAACGTTTATTTATGTCATTTTAGTCTTGAAGATGTATAGAATTATTTTATTTGACTTTAGCAACAACGAATTTAATGTAATATGTATAAATCTCCGATTTATCGTATTATAAAATGGGCTAATATGTACAATATGTTGATTTAACTGTGAATTATTTAGAAATGTCAATTTAGTCATTAAGGCACCCGGTGCCGATGCCATTTTGTCCTCAAAAATACACTCTACGGGAATAACAATTAACAATACCGCCTTGTAGAATCAATCAAATTACATAATTTTTTTTTAATTGTTAGAGGGAAATATTCTACAGCCCGCATCGATCTCTGTTTTCAATATTTCATATATATCTAAAAAAATACAAGATAAAATCATTTATTCATAAATTTCTTAATACAATTATTTGAAATAAAATACAAAATCAGAGATCCATGCAGGTTAGGAAGTCTTTTTCTTTCAGATAAAAAAATAGTCATCAAAATCTGACAATTCTATACAAAGCTTGAGAGTTATTCCCGTAAAGTCATTTTTTTTCGATATAATACACCCTATCAACCCCCTCTAAATAGGTATCGGGTAGTAGGTTAGTGGAAAAGTCTGATAATTGAGGTGGCAACTAAAATATAAAAATTAATTTTCAAATTTTATAAAATTGTGGTAAATTTGAAAAACTGGCACCAGGACCCTTAAGTGATATGGTATTGAGTACCTACATATAATTATTAATTATATATTTATATTATAACTGGATCTTACGTCAGTATGAAATAAACAAACAAATAAATAAATATATTGTACAATATATATTAAAAAAATGCTTAATACTAATGAAAATTAATAGTATAGATGTGTAGACTATAAAGTATAATGTAGAGAATCTAGTAAAAAAAAGCACCTAACAACATTCACCGGAAAAAAAACCCTGTCATAGGAAAAAAAGACGCTCGGAATATTGGTACGGTTCATATAATTTATAACAAAAGAAATAAAAAACACGGAAAATTGATACTATTCAAAATTTAATTTTCAGGGGTCCTAAAATATTTACAATATTTATAATATAATTTTGATATATTACCATCGTCAACGAGTTAAATTTAAATAACACTTAAAATAAAATAAGGTGGGCAAGTGGATGTCGCTCTGCTGTACAGTAGGTTACAAATGAGTCACTGTAATGGATATGGTGTTAAATTTGAATTCAATGATATAATATCATTGTATAAGAAAAACGATTCTGAGCAAAAACGGTCAGTCAGCCTATGATATTACTAAGTATATTTGATGATATTATTGTGATTAAAGTAATTTATATATAAACTATTTACGTGGAATCTTATTTTAAATTTTTAATTCTTAGCCATAAAAGTTGAACATTTTATACATTTTTAACTAAAAAAAATTATTAAATTTTAAATTTGATACATTTTGTCAAAATTCGAACTTTAAATGCTTATAAGAAAAAATTGCGCCAATGTATTTTCAAAGTTTTTAAACTGCTATTGTAACAATATATCAGGAGTTTCGCATTAAATTTTCACGCTTTTTTTCCCAATAAATAAAACTTCCGTAAACAGCTCAAACAGAGTAACTAACTTTCGTCATTTTTACGTATTTTGTCAATATTTGAACTTTAAATGCTTATAAAAAAAAAATTGTGACTGGATTTTTAATTTTTTTTATCCGTCTTTGAAACAATATACTAGGAGTCTTCTATTAAATTTTCAAACTTTTTTAACCAACAAATAACATTTTTATTGTTATTT